GGCGCGGCGGTCACTCGCGAACCTCGGCGAGGATCCAGCGACGCGGAGCCGGCCGGAGGAGCGCTTCTCGTCGGATGAGTGGGAAGACGGAGCCGGTCCTGCCGTTAACCGTCAGCCTCCGACTGCCGCTGAGGCCAACCGCCTGTCTTGGAAATCGTCTCGTTTTAAACGTGCCGGGGCTCTGGTGCAAACCGTACCTGGAAGCGTGGCGCAATGGAAAAGCTGTCATTTCAGGGCTGCGCGATAGCCCAGTTCCCGGCCTGGAGGTGTTAGTGCGTATCCACCTGCTGGAATAACTCTTGGCCTGGCGGTAATTCCTGGGAAAGGTGGCAGCAGGAGGTCGGGGACGGTCCACTGTCGCTTGGTCGAGGGAGCGCTCGGTCTTTCTCGCTGTATCTTCGGCAAGGCATCGAACGCACGGTTACTCTTTTGATCCAGCTGTGAACTAAAGCTTCTGCAGGATACAGCGCTTTGCTTTTTTAATACACGTAGCTTCCTGAGAGGGTGACAGCGGGGTGGGAACCCTGATTTGTGCTACTCACCTATTAGGTTTCCAGGTGGAGCATAGAATCTTGGTCATGGACTATAAAACCTTTACGGATTTGGTCCTTGGGAGGCTGCTGCGGTCTGCCAAGTGCTAGGTTTGGATCTCCTTTAGCGTATAAACGGAGTTTCGTTCGAGGCGGAGGTGTGACTTGGCCTCACGTCTGCACCTGCTTCCAAATCGTTCCCACATCCTTCATGTGGATAAAATAGCCCCCGCGGCTTGGCATGGCTATATACCCTCTTCTCTCACAGTCCTAGGGAGATAGAGGTAGGGAGTAGTGTGGATTATTACTTGTATCTTTAGACAGTGATTTTCTTGTTTTGTGTGTGATTATTTCCTTAATTTGCTGGAAAGACCTCTGGAGTTGAGCGCAGGCATTTTTGGACTGAGTATCATAAGTCAAAATAAACATAGTTAAAACTGAGAAGAATAAGTTAAGACAAAGGAATCGAGACTCGATGTTATCCTTAATAGGTTGGGCTTTTTTCCAAAATAAGTCAATGATAGCTCAACTGCAGTGGAAGGTCAGGTTTTAAAATGTGGTCTTGTGGCCAAAATGTAATTGGGCGAAATTAATGAAAACAGCATGTGATCAGTGAGAATCTTTTTATGTGACTGTTTTATGTAAGTTGAAAGAAAAATAACTTAATACCCTAATGAAAAGCTATGTAGACTATTCGGAGAGGAAGCACTCCCGTTTATTACAACTTACTGTTCTCTCTCACAATACTATCAGTTCTAGGAAGAATATTAACTTCTGTTACAATTGCAAAATTAATTTAATTGTCTTTGTGCCACTCTCTTGTTTAGCAAGAGGTATAACGTAGTGGCACTTGGGCTTTTGTTTATTTGAACAGAAAACTTTCAAAGTATTTTCGTCCTTAAAAGGGTCTTACAACACAGGAACTGGAGGCCCCAAGCGGTGGTGGGATCTCCATCCTTGTAAGTTTTCAAGACTTGGCTGCAGAAAGCAGTGACTCACCTGAGCTGGTCCTGCTCTAAGTGGGAGGTTGGGCTAGAGACCTTCTGTGGTCTTTTCCAACCAACACTTCAGTGATTTCATGGTTTTTCTATTTCTTTGTTATACAGAAGCTGCAGCAGCTTAACCAAAAAGACTCAGAGGTACTGGACAAGAGTGCAGAGGTTCAGATTTGCTGCTGTTGGAGTTACTGGGTCTTTTGCCGCTGATTTAGATGGACATAGGATGAGGCTGTAAGTGACTTCTTCCTGTTGTTTATTGCAGCCTACCTCTGATTAGGAGGTAATGTTTCTATCGCCTCCAATCAGACACTAGATATTGCTTTTAGCTGAGTGAGTCTTGGAGCTTTAGTGTCAAAGCAGCAGGGTTTGAAAGAGAAAACATTTCGTGCTGGCTTTACCCCAAGACCCTTGGAGGTCTTGCGGGAGACCTGGCTTTGGAGGAGGGAGCCAAAGAGGTGATTCTTGTTCAGGGAGCTATGAACATTATAAAAACAACAACAGAAAACCACCCAGCTCTCTGCTTGTCCTCGGGGACTGTAAGCTATAACGGTGTTAGATAACCTTGAACTACCAGCCGAATCCCATGGCCTGAAGTGAACTCTGTTTATTCCTGCACACTGTTTTCTCTGTCATTTGTTTAGACAGAAGTTTCAAGTGTAAGGGTTTTGTCAGATCTGCTTCAGAAAAGGCCTAAATTATCCCTGCATATAAGAAAGCTTTTGTAGGCAGAAGGCTCTAAGCTTATCTGCATCATTTTCCACCTGTGGCCTCTCTCTCCACTTTTTCCAAAAGGCAGGTTCCCCGAGCTGACACGTGTTAGTTGTACAGTGAATGACTTCTCCATTTAACCTTGCCCTATAGGGAAAAGTATACTCTAGCTGTGTTCCCTTCCTGTTTTTTTTTTTTTCTTCCAGTCCTGTCCTGCTCTTTCAGTTGCGCTTCAGTCATTAATGGATGGACAATGCACAGTATTTTCCTTAAAAGTTTTCCGTGTAAGGAATAGATGGCTTAGACAGATAGCCTTAAGTGGTCATATACCCCACAGTGTTTTCTGAGTGCTTCACTGTCCTTAATGTCTTTTTCTTTCCAAAACCCAAGGTATTTTTGGTCCTCATGTTATAGGTGGGGCTCTGAATCATAAAAAGGCATGGCGGTATGGCCTCTTACGGTAATGCAGAGCAGTGGGATTTGAGCACCTAAATACACTGTAGGTGCTGAGCATTTCCGAATGCAACTTGCCTTTGGCTGCAGGCAAGCTTTGTAGCCAGACTGGAAACTGTGCCTTTGCCTCCCGAGTTGCAAGTTGACTGCCTACCCATCCTCTCTCCTCCTTTGCAAGGCTGCCTTCAAACCTGGCTCCAATAGGATGGCACTCCTCTTTCTTTATTTGTTCTGCACTCTTTTCACGGATACAGGGTTATATCTGATTAGCTATTAATTCTCTGACCTAGCAGAATTGGTGCCTCGGTTCCAGCAGCCTGCAAACCCTGGGGAAACAGCTTTCTGTGTCGCTGGCTAATGGTGCATGTCTTATAACGTCATGTGCTGTACTCCAGTTTAAGTTTCAGGGTTCAGACACCACTAATGATACGTGATAGGAGAAAGGTACAAAGTAGAACATGCCTTTCCTTTTGTCGTCCGACGACGACAAAACCTAGAAATGACACAAAATACTGACATTGTTTTAGTTGCAAGGCTGAGTTGCCAAAAGTTAGGAGATAGCAGACTTGCAAATAAAACTGTTTTTCAGCACATTTGGGCTTTGTACATTTTACAGTTTTTAATTACAAGCCCATGTTCTGCATATTCTCATTCCTTATATGGGCTGGATGTGCAGAATGAGATAATTGCTTTTGAAACCTTCAATTGCAAACTGTCATATCCTGATTTTTAGGTACTTGACTTTGCAACCTAAATGATATCTCTCTTTCCAATTAAAAAATCCCATATATATAGTTAATGGCATTTACCACAGGATGAATCTAGAGTACCTTTTTGTCTTCAGCCGTTACTCCGGATAAAGATACCCAGGGTAAATGAGATTACTTTGTTTCTCTTTTTAATCATTGTGGAGAAAATTCAGTGTTCCACTATAGCTGTTTCTGAATGAAAAATATAAATGTTACGAGACCAGTCAATGAATCTTGGTCTAAACAAGTTTTCTCAGGTCTCATATATATTGTCTTTGTCCAGTCTATATTGCATCCCACAGTGTTTTCACTCAGAAGTGATATGCAAAACTTTGAGAGAGGAAAAAAAAAAGTTATTTATCTTAGATGACTTATAACTGCTGAAATATGGGCCCCATTCTCTGACTCCACTTGGTACTAGCAAGGTGTTGTTCTAATGCCATTTTTTCCCCGCATATTTCTAATATTTTGCCCCTCTTTTCCCTCAGTCCACAGTTCTGTATCTCCTCTCTTTTCCCTCCTCTTCTCTCCATCCACAGCTCTCAGGTGGGTGGATTGTAAATAAGGCATTTAATGTCAAAAATTCCTCAGTGCAAGTTACATCTGGGATGTATTTGGTGCACGGATCGCATGTAAGCCTCTTGGCATGGCAGTCTCATTCTTTGCCTGGCAGCAGAGGCTAGAGCTCAGCCTGCTCAGCGCCTCGGGGACCACACAGCGATTGTGTCATGCTGGCTAATCCTGATGATGAGAATGGATTGCATGGAGAGAGGAAGTGGATGCCCTTTTCTTTTCCTGCTTACTATTTACCATCTCAATTATTAAGAGAGGAAAAAAAAAAAAAGAAATACACAGTGGAGAGAGGAACTGTATCTAGTTTTGCTGCAAAAACGTCTCAGTGCGTGATGGCAAGTCTTTCTACCTTCTGCTGTGCCTCAGGGCAGTATAGCATACGTAGCATATTGCTGTGTACCTTGAAAAATTTCTGCTGTGCTTTCAACTGAGTGCTCAAAGAGGGTTTTTTTTTCTTCTTAGTAACCCAGCATTCAAAAGGAAACATTTTATCTGTTGGAGAATTCAATGGCTTCTGGAAACAAAAGAGAATGAAATAAGCAACCGTAGGTCTCAGAGCAACGCTGATTTTAGTAACGTAAACTTTCTTCTCTGATGAGTAATAAGCAGTGCCATCTTTCACGGCCTTTTTGAATTGCTTTTAGTAAGAGATCTGGATTTGTTTTAATCCTTTTCAGTATGTAAAGCCCCAGATATTTCAATCCCTTAGGGGCTCAGTATTTTCTAGCTTCATTTTAAAAGGCAGAGGAAAACAGCTTTCAAAAGTTGTCAGAATCTGTGACTGATAATATATATTTTTTTAATATATCCAGAAAGTGACCCAAAAGTGTCAGTTAAGAATAAGATCTCTGGCATCCCACTTTGCGGATTAGTAACAAACAGGCATATCATCTAGGTACAGTAGCTCTTTGTACTCTGACCTACTTGTTTCTGTTCTGGCTTGTTCCTTCTTGAAAGGTTATTTGGAATAGATGCAAAATTTGCTCAATAAAGAACTGAAGCAACATCACCTGCTACATGGAATGCCTCATTTTCAAATGGACCCTAACTTAATATGATTGCAAGCACCTACCTCTTTCTGCTCTACTGCATAGTCAGAATGCATGCTTTAAAAACACGTGAGATGATCTCTTCTGGAAGATGCTGATCACAAGGAAGGGTTAAGAGAGCCTTGGTCTGGGATCCCGCCGGTATTTGTGAGGTGTCCTCCTAATGAATTCGGCTTCATCGTTTTATTTTTACATGGCTAACAATTAATCATCATCGTTATCATGTATGCACCTGCATGGGTCTTCTGTTGTGGGTGTGCAAAGCTGCTAACTTAGTTGTGTTTTCTTTTTACTTAGGTACTTCTGGAAAGAGCCTCAAAGAAGCTTTCATCTGTAGAAAACCCTACGAGAAAAGCACAGAACACTTTTTAGAAATCAGTGAAGACAGATTATCAACATGGCAGAAAATAAGGACAGTAATATTAAAAATGCAGATGTAAGACCCAAAAGCAGCCGGAGTAGAAGCGCAGACAGAAAGGATGGTTATGTCTGGAGCGGAAAGAAACTCTCCTGGTCAAAAAAGAGTGAGCACTGTTCTGATGCTGAGGCAGCAAGCGCTGCAGGAAGATCGGGAACTGGTTTAAGGAGTCAAGAGAGGAAGTACAGCTGCTCATCCATCGAACTGGATCTTGATCGTTCATGTGGTCACAGGTTTTTAGGCCGCTCTCTCAAACAGAAGCTGCAAGATGCTGTGGGCCAGTGCTTTCCTATAAAGAACTGTAGCAGTCGGCATGCCTCAGGGCTTCCATCGAAAAGGAAAATTCATATCAGTGAATTAATGTTAGATAAGTGTCCTTTCCCTCCGCGCTCAGAGCTAGCTTTTCGGTGGCACCTAATTAAAAGACATACAGCCCCTATAAGTCAAAAAGCAGAAGAGTGGATAATTGCTGATTTATCCCAGAATGAGGAGAAGGAAGATCAGCTGGGAGATGATGAGATTGCCAGTGGGGGAACAGACTCTCCTTCCCAGTCCTGTGACCTGACTGACAGCAGTTCCTCCAGAGGTGATTCCAGGGCTGAGTTGGTTACAAGTAAAGTAGGACGGAGCAGTAAAGACGAGAGTGATATGGACTCTGACGATGAAGTTATAACACTGTGCACAAGTTCTAGAAAAAGAAACAAACCCAAATGGGAAACTGATGATGAGCTGCTACGGATGGAAACGCCTCCTAAATACCATACGCAGATTGATTATGTCCACTGCCTAGTCCCGGACCTCCTTCAGATCAATAACAACCCCTGCTACTGGGGAGTAATGGATAAATATGCAGCTGAGGCACTGCTGGAAGGCAAGCCAGAGGGAACGTTTTTGTTACGAGATTCTGCTCAAGAAGACTATTTGTTTTCTGTAAGCTTCAGGCGCTACAGTCGTTCTCTCCATGCACGGATAGAGCAGTGGAACCATAACTTCAGCTTTGATGCCCACGATCCTTGTGTCTTCCATTCTCCTGACATCACAGGACTCTTGGAGCACTATAAAGATCCAAGCTCCTGTATGTTCTTTGAACCGCTTTTATCTACTCCCTTAAACAGGACTTTTCCTTTTTCTCTTCAACATATATGTAGAACAGTTATTTGCAACTGTACAACTTATGATGGTATTGATGCACTTCCTATTCCTCCATCAGTGAAGCTGTATCTGAAGGAATATCATTATAAATCAAAAGTTAGAGTACTCAGGATTGATGTACCAGAGCAGCAAAGCTAGAAAATATTTTTATGAAGGAATGAAATTGTCCCTGAGCAGAGGAATAGTATGTTCAGTCTTTCCTCCCTTTTAGGGTTTTTTTAAAATGGCAGTTTGATTTTTTTTTTTTTTCTCCTGCAGATTATTTACAACCCAAACTAGCCTCTGCCTAAGGCTTTTTTATCCAAATGTACTTTGAGTCTTCCCAACTCTCTTTTTAAGAAATGATATTCATTGTGGGCTTTTGGTACTGTTCCCAAACTAGGGTTTTATGGAATTTCAGGTAGGCTTTCTGGTATTTCGATAGATGGATAGTCTTTAGATCTAAAAACCTTAAAAATCAGTTTTGATCTTGATCTGTCTTTTATATTGTAATTTGCAGATGTTGCTGACATGTTTGAAATAATGCCCTGGTAACTAAAGATTGACTCATCTGTACTTTCTGCATTTCTTTTAAAATGAGGGCTCAAGCCTCTGTGCGTGTGTGTGTCTGTCTGTCTGTCTGTATCTAATGTAGTAAATTCGTCAGTCTATTTCTAATTTTACTTTTCCTAGCATAATGAATTTTGAGAGAGGATATGATCTTTCTATAAATATATCAGGGAACTAAACACCAGGGAGGGGAAAAACAATTCAAATTAGGGACCGCATTTAGCACAAGAAGAAGCATTATATAAACTGGTCATGTTTTTGGCTGGAAAGAGAGAAGGCTCATAATCATCACAGCAGCAAAGTTCTGGAACAGCTTTTCATTTTGAATATCAGCGAAAAAAAGCAAACTACTCATAAACTGGGATTTGATCAGTGTTTGGAAGGGATAATATGGCATGGTTGTTTATGATAGATGGGACTTGGACTAGATACCTGAGAATGTCCTTTCTATGTCTATTACTATTTCATTACACGAAAAGCTCAGTTTTCATTATAAAGGCCGCTTCTGAAATGGTAAAATATAGGGTGGGGAGATGAGAAAGAAGGCATTTCCTTAAAAAATCTAGTTCCATTTGTATGTATTAAACTATTTGATCTTGCATTGTTGATTCTGAGGTGATGATGGATAACTTTCTTGCTTTGTTAGTAGACTTTTTTTTTAAACTAGTTTAAAAAAAAAAAAAAGTCTGCAGATTGTCTTGCAACATATAACATTTGTTCAGGTGGCCTGCTCTCAACTTCTATGTGCAGGAAAACCATGGATAATAATCCTAAAAACATTACTTATATTACATGGATAGTTGGATCTGCTGCTGAATTACTGTTAAAATCCCAGTGAGAATGGACCTAGGATCAGGCAAGAAACTGTAGTGCTTTCCAGACCAGCCTCGGGAGAACAGCTCCACAATGACCTGCAGTTCCGTTGTCTTCACTCGAATGTGTTTATCTCCTCTTCCAGAACGGCGCCCAGAACTAGTCTGTCAGAAGTATACCTGATGATTGATAGAGTTGTAACTACAATAACCGTACTGGTTTTTTTTTGATCACCGGGAGAGTCTATATCCTTTTGAAATGCCTTTGAAATTGAGACCCCCCCCCAACCTTGCAGAGTTACAGATGTGTTTAGCTATATGCATGTAAAAAGATCAGTTACCTGTGTGCCTGAGGTTACATATGTGTGCAGGCTAAGAGCAGGGGAGCCCAGCGCAATGCAGTCTTCCTCCTGGAGTGAAGGCTAAGTGCTACAATAGCATATGCAATAGTTATTTTTGAATATTTTAATCTCAACTTCTAGAGAATCCAATGGGTTTGTGTACAGCAAATCCATCCTGCGAGTTCGGTTTGTGGGAGTTACTGAGCAAGTTTTGCAATGCAGCTCCACTGGGGACGTACTGTCCCACCCTTGCTCACCTTTTTTTCCTCTTCAGCCCTCTGCCTCCTGAGCAGAGAAAGCAGAGAATAGCCCTTCCGCTAAAGTGCTGTCACTGTGATATAAACAGATTTTCAGGGACATCTGCTTAGAGACTGGCCAGTTTGTTTTCACTTTGTTTTAAATAGGTTTAAACCGAAGTCTCTAGGGAGAAAACGCTAACACATCAATCTGTCACACTGCATGTGGATGAATACACTATAGGACAAACTCTCAGCTGCTGTAAATCAGCATAGCTTTATTGATACGCTTATAACAGTTTATACCAGCTGAGATTCTCCTTCCTCCACATGCAAATGATAATTGTATGACTCATGTTAGAGACAGTATTCATTTTTTATGTTTTTCTTGTGGTGCTTCCATTCAACTGACTTGACTTTGGGCATAAATTGTATTTTGTCAATAACTTCTTATTAGTAAATCTATTTCTTTTCTAGCTGCCGCTGCCATTTACCAGACATGAAGTGAACGAATAGTAGGTATGATCTTTACACTGGTCCTGTCATGGTGGAATGGTAGCCTGTGGCTTTTGCTGTCACAATACAAAATAATAGTAACTGGTTAAATTCTGACTTTATAGAGAAATTGTAGAGACGTTTGCAGTCTGCTTGATTAAAACTCTCTTTCAGAAACTCTTAATTAGGGCAAGAAGCTTGTAACTTTACATAGGGCTTACCATTGTTATTTTTGTCACAAGACTACAAAAATTTCAGCCAAAAAAAGTCTTATCTATTTAGGAACTTACAGTGAAAGCCACCATTCTTTCAAAACAAGCAAACATCTTGTCCCTTCAAAATGAAAGGCCATGAAAGAAGCTTCTTTTGGGTGCAGTTCCGCAACGTGCTGTGATTTCAGAATGCAGCCTACATTGTTTTGACATCTGTTGATGCAGCACTTACCCAAAAAATGTCTTGAGCACTCCAATTTTAGGAGACCTACATAATATAGCAGTTGGGGAAAGAAGGTGCTACACATCTAGAAATAGTGCCTTTGGACTATGGGCCAATTAATGGCGTTTGTTCAGAGAAATCATATATAGAAAAAGTTGATGAACAGGATTTTGTGAAAGTTCACCCTATTTTTGCCTGGTTTGTTTATCCAGATCATACTTGTGTGGTTTTTCTTAATTCTTTTGTACCTTCTGACACTCTGAATCGTGTATATATGCACATTTTGCGAGAGAAAGGTACATTTCATGAGGTATATGTGTTTTTTTTGATGGAACATGAGAACTCAAAAGCTCTGTTTGCTTAAATGCATATTTTTAAATCCATAAATTAAATTCATAACTTTTTTGGAATAAACCTTGCAGACATTAACTAGTTTTACAATATGCCAAGAATTGTTAGTCTAAAGTTTTCTTCTCAGTGTTGTTGTTAACAATCTTACCGGTGCTGTTCGCATAAATAAGGCTGTATAACATCTTGCGTTAGCTATCTGAAGCATGTTTGAAAGGTAACTAAGTCTTGAGGTTAAGTGCTCAAGCCTTCTAGAAAATTAGTCGTAGAAACGGGGCAAGAACTTTCATCTTCTAATGCACGTTCCTGCAAGATGTAGATAGACATACTTTCTTGTCGTGCCACTTTACCTGCTTGATTTTCTCATGGTAATGGTAAATTACGACATTGGCCTTATTTTCCTGAGACTGCAAGTCTTGACTGGAGGATAGAGCACCTGATCTTCTTCCCCTGGCTTGTGCAACAGGAACATCCAGTGGTAGGAATCTCCACGTGTCGCTGCAGGTGGCTGCAGCATGGATTTGGCGACTCCTCTACCCTCCTCAGCAAGCAGTTGCAGGAGGTGGGCTAGAAAAAATGCTTAGAGCCTGCTTAACCTCCCTCATAAATTAGCCTCAGTATCTATATTACCGTACTCCTCTGGGTACTTCTCTTGGATGGACACCATCATAGCCATGGCTTTTTATCCAAGATTGTCCACTGAGTAAAGTTTAAAATGTACCAGCAATCTAGTTACTGTCCTTACGTGTGTTGTGAAGGAAATGATTTTTTGCAGAAATGCTTCCCAAGACAGCAAATGGTATTAGTCAATGCACTGACATGGCCAGGCCTTGGTCGAAGCTGGATCTTACTGGGCAGCACACAACACATATAGCCTTCCCTGCATTGTGAAACTTCCAAGGTAAATATTAAGCGTGGTACAAGGGAAGGTGCAGAGATGTGAAGGAAAAACATGTGCTCAAGACTACAGCTGGTCAGCGGCTGAGCCGAGGATGTAATCCCGTCCCGACATAGCCCTGGCGATGGCCCTGTGTGTTGAGCCGCCCAGCCAGCGCTGCATCAGGAGTTGTCTATGCGAAGAAGTGGTGTGTGCCGCTTTGAAAAAGGCGCTTTAGGAGGATAGCAGAAACATGGTTAGCGTATTGCCAACAGTGTGAACAGCTTCTGTTCATAAATTATTCCGCGGGTAAGAAAA